ATGCATTTTAGTATTTGTGTATGATTTAATCACAAATTAAAAATATTGACAATTCAAATAATGTCAAATAGTAAAAACATAAATATGATCAAACGCAACATGTCATACACATTCTTGTACCTTGTGTGGCCTGACTTTAAGGGGTGGCCTAAAAAATGTATTATATTTTTACAAAATTTTGGGATACATTTAATTCGTAGAACAATTTTAACATTTGTTTTTAATACATATTTTAGTTCTTTACAAATAGTTTCCTATCAATTTTGATGTAAAATAATTAGGGAAGCAGGAATTTAACAATTTAGAATTTTCCATTGAATTCCCTATGGACCGTTTGGCGTTTCACACCCTATATATATATATATATATATATATATATATATATATATATATATATATATATATATATATATATTATATATATTATATATACCTATATATATATATTATATATATATATATATGTAACATATAATATATATATATATATAATATATATATATATATATATATATATATATATATATAAGATTTATTATATAAGATTATTAAGATTTAAGTCGGCGTATTGATATGAAAATTTTGTTTTGTTTAACCAGAATTCAAATTAGCATAATATAAACATGTAACTTTAACGAAGTAATTTTTTATGTCATAAAACTCTTCAACTTTGACGCTTGATCGAAAAAACGAGAGTTGTATCAGGCAATAAAAAAGTATCACGCAAAATATTACATCTGTAATGCTGTCCGTGGTAAAGAAAAATAAAAAATAAAAATAAAAACTTCTATATATCACAATTTTCCCAGCTTTCTTTCATGATCTCCAAAGCTTTAGATAATAAAGCAAAAAAACTTAGATATTCTTTAAGACATGGACGTCGAATTTTTTTTTACTGATTCAAAAACTGTAAAAGAATATATGACTGACAAATTTGTAGATACTGCAAATTTTGAACTTTAATTTATTTTCCGAAAAATTATAAAATATACAAGTATTGCATATTAATTATTATTGTAGAATACTTTATCTTCTTTGTCTTGTTCATATTCTATTTTAACGACCAAAGATGAAGATTATTATGGGAATCTTATCCTTGTTTCTAGCTGTTCAAACAGTCGTTTTGAGGTTTGTTCAAGTCAATCTCGGAAGTTCTTCAATCAAGAAATTTTTCCTTGACGAAATCTTCAAGATTTCTTCTGCCTTTGTTTTACTTTCTTTTTCGTAGCATTAGAATGTTGGATACATCAGCTTAATATTTAAGAAATAAGCATAAACGCAAATGCTCTTATTATAGGGGAATAGCTGTTATCAGCTTAGTGGAGAGATTGTACGGTGGAATAATAAAAGAAAGGATAGAATCAAAAGACGAAGACATATAAGAAAAAAATTGATTTCGTGCAAAAATATTGTGCACTGATGGTAAATTCGTTCTGCAGCAGGTAATCGAAAAACGGAGAGCAAGAAATATCTCTACGTACCTATTGTTTGTAGATTTAGAGAAGCATATAATATGGTACCTTTAAAAAAAATGTTTCAAACATTAAAGAAAGTAGGTCTCAGTAGAGTGTATGTAGACGCAAATATATACAAAAATGCAAAAAATATAGGTAACGAAGGAAACTTTATATATTAATCATTTCCAATAACAAAGGGGCTTAACCCGGCACTACACGCGCCAAAAAACTTACGTTGTAACACGCGCACGGTCAAATCGACCGTAGACATAGTTTTGGTTTTAATTAATAAAAAAAAACAAGTAGAATCTAAATATATACCAAAAATCTTTTATTTTAAACTTATGTTACAATTTTTCATTTATTGTTGGCTTTTATAGCATTCAGTACAAACCTGGGAAGTATGTTCTCGGCATATATACTTTTAACACTGTACGCATAGGGTCTTCGTTTTTCTGTTCTTTTTCGATGAGCAAAAATGACATCTGCCTGGAACGTCATACTGGCTATGTGGCGTAGATACCTCCTGGATGCGCAACATTTCTTTTATACGACTTCTCATAGTTACTGGTAACATAACCATTTCTCGACGACGTTCAAGTTGCGGTGTAATGAGACTCATTGCTAATGATTTCAAAAAGTTTCGGCGAGTTCTATGAGTATTGTTATTTTTGTCAGCAACGATATGGCTATTTATTCCAGATATATTCAAGGAAGTAAAAAATAATGTTAGAGGCCATCGACAACTTTTTCGTGGCACAGAGTAAGTTCCTTTTAGCTCATCAACGGTATCAACACCTCCCTTTGTTGCATTGTAAAATGTAATCATTGATGGCTTGTATGCATCGCCACTTTCTGGATCAATCTCGTCTTTGTAATGCATTGTTGACAATAATGTAACTATTTTGTTTTGCTTGGACTTGTAGGATACCAAAGTCATGTCTTGGATGAAACCAAAAATGCTCGAAGTAACTTTACGCTCCTTTAACTTTGCAGTAAAAATTTCAGGAATTTCTTTTTTATTTTTGCGAATTGTGCCCGTAACAGTTAGTTTGTGTTTTTTTTAGTAAATCTAAGGCTAAAGGTATCGACGTAAACCAATTAATGAAAGTTACATTTCTTCCAGTTCCAGAAATTGGTTTAATTAATCGTTGTACGACTGAAGAGGCGCTATTGTCAACTTTATAGGGCCCATCTGGTTGAGTCCCAACATACACCTCTAGATTATAAGTGTAATATGACATGGAATCAACAAGCGCTAATATTTTGATTCCATACTTTTCTGGTTTGTGCGGTATATATTGTCGAAATCCACATTTGCCGCGAAATGACTCAAGCATTTCATCAATTGTTACAAATTCACTAAGAGTATAATTGGCTTTGCATCGCTTAACAAATCCATCAAAAAATTCTCTTATAGGAGATAGCTTATCGTACTATTTCCGTTCCCCTCTATCCTCAAGATCGTCAAAGCGAAGCGCTCGCAACAAAAATTGAAATCGATTAATTCCCATTGTAAGACGAAAAATCTCTACGCCGGTTCCGTCTTGTGCCCACAGATCTCTCAAATGTAGGTGTGATGACCGCAAGACTCCAGCAAAATATAGAAGACCAATAAGTGCTTTAATTTCTTCCATATTTGTACTGGTAGCATCTCTTTCTCTACTGTACTTTGTCCGAAGCTTTAGAATATATTTGTTTGTGTGTTCAACTATTTCGCTGATGACGGAGTCTGGAAAAAACAATTGCCAAGCATCAATAATGGTTTTTGCTTCTCTGGCTTTTCCAATTACTCCAGAAGATTGAGTCACTATATTTCTTCTCAGGATCTTTTTTTTCTTATAAAGATTCTTATAAGAGAATATAAGAGAATATAAGAATCTTTATACATCTACTATACAGAACCCCGAACCAGACCACAGAACAATTCTAAACGTCGGCTCAGAAACCCTCCCTAAAATAACCTCTTCGGAAATTAGACATGCCTTACAGCAAATGAAAAACAAAAAAGCTCCGGCGAGGATCGTATAACGTCTGAAATGTTAAAAATGGGCGGCAACATCGTTGTAGAAGTTGTGGAAGTCTTACTGAATAAGTGTCTAACAGAAAAAAGAATACCCAGCCTATGGAAAAACGCCGAAATAATACTTTTACACAAGAAAGGAGACACTACTAATATTGAAAACTACAGACCTATTAGTTTGTTGTCACACTTATACAAATTGTTAACAAGAATAATAACCAACCGCATAACACAAAAACTTGATTTATATCAACCGGTTGAACAGGCGGGATTTAGAAAAGGGTTTGGCGCTAATGATCACTTACAAACCATCAGAACACTAGTAGAAAAAAACCACAGAATATAATGTACCTTTACATATGGCATTTATCGACTTTCACAAGGCTTTCGATAGTATTGAGACTTGGTCCTTTTTGTCAGCCCTGAAGGATGCTCGAATAGACTCACGGTACACTACACTCATTAAAAACATTTATGAACAGGCCACATTCCACATCAAAATCAATGAAGACGAAAAAACTGAAAAAATGCGCCTTGATAAAGGTATTAGACAAGGTGATACTATTTCACCAAAGCTTTTTACCTTAGCATTGGAAAATGTATTCAAACAGCTTGACTGGGAGGAAAAAGGTGTAAACATTGATGGTGTACGTTTGAGTCATTTGAGGTTTGCGGATGACATAGTATTATTTAGTACAGATATCAAGGAACTGGAGCAAATGTTGAAGGAATTAAACCAGCAGTCAAATAAAATAGGTCTCAAAATGAACCTTCAGAAAACAAAAATAATGAGTAATTTACAAACTAATCTTGTTATTGACAACGTCAGTCTTGAAAATGTAGACCACTATATATATCTTGGACATACCATTAAAATCGGCAAAGAAAATCAAATAGCCGAAATAAAAAGACGCATACAACTGTCTTGGGGAGCTTTCGGCAAATTAAGCTTTATTTTGAAGAATAAAGATATACCAATGTGTCTAAAACGTAGAGTTTATGACAAATGTATCTTGCCTGTAACTACATATGGACTGGAGACCATGGCCTTCACAAAGAAAACCTTAGAGCAGCTCAGTACAACCCAAAGAGCAATGGAGAGGGCCATGCTAGGGATTAGTTTGAGAGACAGGATTCGAAATAACGTCATTCGTGAAAGAACAAAAATTACTGATGTCTCAGAACGTATTGCAAGGCTCAAGTGGCAATGGGTCGGACACGTTGCCCGAGATAATCCCGAAAAATGGACACAAAGATTAACAAACTGGAGACCAAGAGAGAACAGGCGAGGAGTAGGCAGACCGCAGAAGAGGTGGACAGACGATATCAAACAAGTCGCGGGCAAGCAGTGGATGAGAATTGCCAAAAGTAGAAATCGATGGAAGCAAATGGAAGAGGCCTATGTCCAGCAGTGGACGAACACAGGCTGAAGAAGAAGAAGAAGAAGATCTTTTTTTTTGAAACAGCTACGGGAAATTTATTCCACAAAGTCTTTTTGTCCCTTCCCACAAAACACATACGAGTATTTAGATCTTGCTGAGTTTCGTTAAAATCTGGTATCTCTTCTCCTTCTGATTGCTCTGAATTGGAGTCGTAATCATTGTTCTCCAAAACGTCATCTTGGTCTTCAGGTGGTCCACCTATCCCATCGTCGCTCTCAATTTCAGCCCACATGGCTAAAATACGCTTTGTTTCTTTCTCGTAAGAACACATAACCTGCAAACAAAAAAATACTATTACAAATCACCATACGTGTAAATATATTTTCCACTAAAATACTGGACTTAAGAAATATTATTAAAGAACCACACACAGGGTTCACTTACCGTATTATTAACTATAAAACGCACACTATAAAAAGCACACCAATATCTAAAACTGTGAAACTGCAACACAAATATCTTTGATACTTATGTACACGCGCGCGGTCAAAAGCACCAACTACACAAATATAAAACTATATCTCTCAAAGGCCAAATAAAAACTGAAATAATATAACGCCAGTCGCTAAAGGGAAAACCGCTTGGAGCATTCCAGGTAGGTCAGTACCATAGATTAAATATATATAAGTAGAGATAGATAGGCAACTCTTTAATACCAAAAATTGCAATGTACACAGCGCCCTCTGCCTGGTTTAGTCATGAACTAAATGGGTAATGACGCGGCGGGAATTTTAAACGTTCGAATAAGCTTTGTTGCTAATTATTGTAGTAAAACAAGATTCTACAACATAATGCAAATTATAAAAAATAATCGACAATTGTTTCTTACATTAACATTAACGATTATTTTTTGTAATTTGCATTACATTGTGGAATCTTTTATTGCAATTATGAACAGACTGCACATAATAGGAAAGGAAAGGAAGAAAAACAAAATTCAAAAATTAAAATATTTATTTAAAAAATTAACGACACAATTTACAAGTAACAAAATTATTTTAAGAACGTAAACATACTTACTTGGTGGTAAAAATAAAGATGGAATAGCATCTTTTTTAATAGTGGATTTATTTATTAGTCCAATGTATTGTGCATCTGGCCCAAAATGGACATTACATACACGGTATGATTTTTGTACCTTCTCCATTGGCATTTCTTGTAAATTGGGATGGCCAATCCTTTTAATCCAAACATTATACAGCTACAAAAAACATACAAGAATTAGTGCTAATAGATATAGTATAAAAAAATATATTTAAAGTCCATAACAATAATAGCAATGTAAATCATATTATCTATTACTTCTTTCCTTTTTTGTTGTATCATCTGTAAATACTTCAATTTCTGGATATTTTTACATTTGTTCTAGCAAGGTTAAAACATTTTAAGGTTAGAGATACATACTTACGAATATCTTGTTTGTTAATCGTTATTAAAATATTAATGGCAAATCAAAATAAAAGCTATTTTTCATTTTAATATTAAAATAAATATTAATTATCACTTACCTCTTGATTTTTCGGAAAAATATGCATTTGAGCATCTTTTTGGTAATTTTTGCAGCCGGGTACACAGCATTTAAACACCATTTTAACAGCATTTAAACACCATTTTAAAGATCTATTAAAAAATTTTCAGATAAACTGAATTTTTACTTTAAAGTAAAAGTCTTTGCTATAAAGCCAAACTGTGAGTAAAAAAAAACACAATCAAATAATATAAATCCAAAGACGTAAACAAACACCGTGTCTTAGACAAAATAAAATGGCGTTGTGTTGTTGTTGTTGGGATTTTGCAGATGCGATGACTTGCGCATTTGAAGAAAGTTTTTGGTGGCGCCACCTTTCTAGTTTAGTCAAGAATTAAAGAGAATGAACCGTCATTGCCATTAAAGATAACATGCCATGGTCAGTAATACCACCACTATACCAGCGGCGTCATTTTAAAATTTATCACGGCTCGGTCCTTTCGACCGACACGCGTGTAGTCCCGGGTTAAGAAGGATTTTGTCTATCTCCGACCTTACTTAAAATATATATTCAATTATCGCTAGAGCAGTGGAGAAAAGTTTATTTTTCGCAGATGATCAGGTAGTCGTAGCGAGTGATGAGGACGACATGGACTATACGTTAAGAAAACTAAAAAAAATATGAAAAATGGGGCCTCAATATAAATATGTTAAAGACAGAGATATCTTAAAATAGGAGATGATAAGGAAGATCCAAAGTTAAACATTAGAAAGATTAGAAACACAAAAACATGCAATGAATATAAATATCTCGGATCTATAATATCTAAGGAAGGCACTACCAAAAGAGACTTCGAAAACAGGACGCAGCAGGGAAAAAAAGCGGTTAACATTCTGAACTCTCTACTATGGTCTAATGATATTAGACAAGAAACGAGATTGACAATCTATCGAACCTTAGTACAGCCTATTATGACTTCTGGAACAGAAATTTGGTAGATCAAGAGAAAAGATAGAAAAAAAATAGAAGTAGTAGAAATGGATTTTTAAAGAGAGCGTGTGGTGTATCCAAAAATATTATATCGGAAATGAAGATATTAGGCGAAGGACACAGGAGTATATTTCAGTGAAGACAGAATTAAAAAGAGACAACTGGTGTGATATGGTCACGCGAAGCGAATGAATAAAGATAGATGGCCAAAGAAAGCTTTAAATTACATACCACAACAAAGGAGAAAAAGGGAAAGTCTTCAGTTGCCTGGGAAGTAAAACGTACGGCACATAGTGAAATTTAGAGCCATCAAAGAAGATGAATGGATGGACAGAAAACGATGGTGCTCGAAATGTGCATATTATATATATATATATATATATATATATATATATATATATATATATATATATATATATATATAATGTGTATTGTTTTATGAGCAATGAGTATGTTTAAATAACATATATAGGGTTTTTGTCGCGGGTAAGCACTTTCTAAAATTATCTTTATTATAATTATTATGAAACACTCACATATATATATAAATATATATATATATATATATATATATATATATATATATATATGTATATATATATATATATATATATAATATATATATATATATATATATATATATATATGAGTGTATATATATATATATATATATATATATATATATATTGTTGTGCTATTTAAATTGTATTCTATTGCTTATTTAGAAAAGATCTTGTCTATATTTATTAAATGATCTAATCTCCAATTAATCACAATAAATCAGCATTAATTAATTACAATCTCAGGCTATTTAACTTGTACTATTTACCTTTGATCGTGGATTCAAAATATTTTCCAATTGGCTTCCTAATTGGGATAGGTAATATGACCTGAATAAAATACACAGAATTTCAACTGAACTATATGTGAGATGTCCTTTATTTTAATGAAATTTTATATAACAATCAATCCTGTAATATTTGCAATATAATACTTTAAATATATGAGAAGTTGTTTTCTATCATGGACCCAAATGTTATTTTACATTGATTTTTAATATGTGTTATAACTAAGCTCTCTTTCTAATTTTTTTCTTTAAATGATCGCAAAATTAACTGTCTCTATTATTTATTCAATTTATTTAATTAATAAATGAAAACCACACTCCTGCTCTAATGAAAATTGACTGACCTTTCGTTCTCTGCCGTTGCAATTCTATGACCACGCCATAAAAAAAAACCTTTCTCTGCTTCTGCTCTTATTGTGGTCCAGATGACGTACACCTTTCTCCTATCTGTCCTTGTATCTGCAACCCAACAACTCGTGTAATTCTATGCAGCCTCCTTTTGAACCAATCTCCGCGCCTGTTTATAACTTTAAATATTTCCGGCTTCGTCTGATATTAATATTCTTATACCCTTTGGTTTTTCTATCTCTCTGTACCCCGTTCCTCACACTGATCAGCTTTTACACAGCAAATAAACACACCCGGTAAATTACGTCTTCGGGACTTCAAAACAAACACAAACCACAAAGCTCCTTCCTTCTTGGGCGACGAAAACGGACTAACTAACTTTTTTCCTCTCTCCTATCTCATAGCCAAAACCACTACCGCCTTGCATTCAAAAATTGACCAATAAAAATCATCCACCTCTGTGACGTATATCGTTACCAACCAACTCTCTTTATAAAACGTCATTCGGGTAATTCCAGAAAACAACATTCTTTAATTATTCTAACTAAATCTATCTGCTTTACAAATATTTCTTACTAATAGCTACAAACGATACCTGTTTCTCAATTCAATGTCTTTTGTTAATAAACTTTTACCGATATAATCTTTCGGGGAGAAAAACCACCGCAAATCCCGGTCTATTGTTTAAACACTGTCTATCTACATTTTTATTCTGGGTAAATCCATTCCACAATAACCGACTTATTTAAATTTCTTATCGATAATATTTGAAAGTCTTGTCTCTGAGGCCTAATGAACAATTCTTCGAACAACTTAAAATACATATTTTGTCTTATACAGGAAGTTTGAAAATTTATATGCCCGTGTCTTTATGAAATATCAATAATTTTAATTTTTATTTAAGTAATAAAATTTGTATATCGGTTTTTTATTGCTTATGGACATTCAAAAGTACAACAATATATATATATATATATATATATATATATATATATATATATATATATATATATATAATTTAGAGAATATTTAAATATAAATGTAAAACAACCTATCTTTAAAATTTATATTATTTTTATTACAATTAAAATATACTAACAAAATTTGGTACCTTTCTGTCACTGAATCCCTAAATGAAATTGTTTTCCAAAATAAAGGTTTTAATCACCACTCAATGTCTCCGTTATCAACCTCTGGTTATTCTTCTTTTATTGAAATCGCTGTGCCAAATAGACCACAATGTTTCAATTATCAGCTTTCATTATTTAAAAATATTTTTCTTCTTAATAACATTTATAAATCGGTAAAATATTCTTCCTTTTTCAGTAAAATATTCTGCTTTCTTGTTTATTCTTATATATCTAATAATCTTTTTTTTCTTCAAATCTTCAATCACCATAAAAATATTATAATTTTTAATTTCTTCTAATCTCCAATCACCATATAGATAATATAATTTTTAAACTCTTCTAATCTCTATATATATATATAATACAATTTTTAATCTTGACCTAATACTCTCAATACTATTTTTTAATCTCCACCTAATACACTTTCCAATACTACAATACTTATACTAATACTACTCCCTAAAACTTATTACGCTTTCAATACAGCATACCGAATACTGAATACTAAATCCTTATGCTTCAAAATCACAGCGTATATATACATATATATATATATATATATATATATATATATATTATATATATATATATATATATATATATATATATATATCGGAAAAAGGAGTACGACCGTCAATCCAATATATATATAAGGATCACTCAGACGAGTGGTGGGTTCTTATATCGGTCTCTAGGTGGAGAAATAAAAGACAAAGTTGATAGGCTACTTTATCTATTTTGAAACTTTATCTATTTCAAAATAGATAAAGTAGCCTATCAACTTTGTCTTTTATTTCTCCACCTAGAGACCGATATAAGAACCCACCACTCGTCTGAGTGATCCTTATATATATATTGGATTGACGGTCGTACTCCTTTTTCCGATATATATATATATATATATATATATATATATATATATTATATATTATATATATATATATATTATATATATATATATATATATATGTATATATACGCTGTGATTTTGAAGCATAAGGATTTAGTATTCAGTATTCGGTATGCTGTATTGAAAGCGTAATAAGTTTTAGGGAGTAGTATTAGTATAAGTATTGTAGTATTGGAAAGTGTATTAGGTGGAGATTAAAAAATAGTATTGAGAGTATTAGGTCAAGATTAAAAATTGTATTATATATATATATAGAGATTAGAAGAGATTAAAAATTATATTATCTATATGGTGATTGGAGATTAGAAGAAATTAAAAATTATAATATTTTTATGGTGATTGAAGATTTGAAGAAAAAAAAAGATTATTAGATATATAAGAATAAACAAGAAAGCAGAATATTTTACTGAAAAAGGAAGAATATTTTACCGATTTATAAATGTTATTAAGAAGAAAAATATTTTTAAATAATGAAAGCTGATAATTGAAACATTGTGGTCTATTTGGCACAGCGATTTCAATAAAAGAAGAATAACCAGAGGTTGATAAAAGTCTTTGCTATAAAGCCAAACTGTGAGTAAAAAAAAACACAATCAAATAATATAAATCCAAAGACGTAAACAAACACCGTGTCTTAGACAAAATAAAATGGCGTTGTGTTGTTGTTGTTGGGATTTTGCAGATGCGATGACTTGCGCATTTGAAGAAAGTTTTTGGTGGCGCCACCTTTCTAGTTTAGTCAAGAATTAAAGAGAATGAACCGTCATTGCCATTAAAGATAACATGCCATGGTCAGTAATACCACCACTATACCAGCGGCGTCATTTTAAAATTTATCACGGCTCGGTCCTTTCGACCGACACGCGTGTAGTCCCGGGTTAAGAAGGATTTTGTC